AAGAGAATTTGGAGGATTTTAAAATTCGACAAGTACTGGATTAGCATTTCTGTGACGGAACATGTTCAGTTGTACACCCCCCAATGTTTTTGTTTCTCTTAACTGAGAAATCGTATAGAAAATTTCGTACCCTCGAACATTTTATCAGTATTTCCCATACACCTTCCTCGCGCCTCCTCTCCATAAAACATTTTATCCACATTTTCAGGCAACAAATAAGCAGTTCTCATCTCCAATGTGTTCTCTTATAATTGTTTAGATCTATCTCTTAATAAATAATAATTATAAATTAATATTTTCGATCAAATATAGCTGTAGTCTTAAACGGCCTACGCAAATGCATCTCCGTCTCTCTCACACGAATAGACCATGAAGTGGGCACACACACAAAAAAAGATCGCTCTTCTTATGCATTAGTATGGGGATGTGCAAAAGGAGAGCATGAAATAAACCTTCCAATTCCCGGTTCGATTTCGCACGCGTTTAAGCCAGCTCTGCGATTATTTCCGGTTTCGGAGACGTAAACGTAAAATGCAGCGAAAAAAGTGTATAATAAGTGTATATAGTATAATAGATTCGCGAAGTAGCTACATAAAAGTGCGGCAAATATGGCAAATAAGAGGAAAAATAATCTAATGAAAGGACGAAGCATCGCCATAAAATGGCAGATCTTGGTTTAAAATTTTCAAAATGTGGGTAGCCGAAACCCCAGAGAGCACCCTAAGTTCCGTTATGTCCGCCCACAATTTGTTCGTTCCGCCAATAGATTGAAATTGCAGAAAGTCTACAAATCTATTGCGGAGAGTAGGCGGCGAGTGCATGTCACAGATGTCTCCAAATATAGTGAGCGGAGTTGATGTCGCTCTCTCTTCCCCTCTCGTGGTGCAGTTTCAGCGATGGCAGATCAAATGGCAAATTAAAGGAAAAAAGTGAAAGTGTACTGAAAAAGTGTTTAATCGAATGCAGCAAAAATGGCATCTCCAATGGCAAATAAAGTGTTTAATCTAATGCTGGGGCGAAGCAGCGGCAGAAAAAATCAGTTCAAATGGCAAATTATAGAAAAAAATCGAATGCAGAAAAAATAGCGGATGAAATGGCAAATAAAGTGTTTAATTGAATGAATTGGCGGAGCAGCAGAAGAACGCACGCTAGGTTCCGTTATGTCTGTGGTGTCGCCCAGAATTTTATCGTTCAGCCAGGGAATCTTGAGTTGCATGTGTGTAAGCGCGTGCAAAAGGCAATTGCAGAAAGTCTAAAAATCTATTGTGGAGAGTTGTCCTACGTAACTTCAGCGGATGTAACCACGTGTGTCCAAATATGTTGCGGGGAGATGATGTCGCTCTCTCTCTCTCTCTCTCACGTTTGGCTTAGTGTCTGCACTTGCACTTCATTAAAAAACTTTTACACTGTGGGAAGGGGAGATGATGTCGCTCTCTCCACCTCCCTAGTTCCATGTGTGCCTTTGCACACTAATAAAGTTTGCGTGTATTGTGAGATTTTGCAGATCCGATCTGTCAGGGGTGAACCAGCGGCAAAAAATGGTAGACAAAATGGGAGATCACATGGCAAATAAAAAGAAAAAATCTATGGCGGAGGTGAAAATGGCTGAAAGTAATTTTCGCTGGACCAAAGGATGAGAAGTGAAATCGTTTGAGATCGTCGTCCGTTCCCGAAATCGCGATCTTATAATTTTGTTAATCTTAACTCGAAATCGTCTCTAACTCTGCGAGTAAAAAAACATCAAACTGTAAAACCTCCGGAGGAAAATGCTTGTTTTGCCATAGGAACAATTAAATGTATGTGAATGAAATAGAAGAAGAGGAAAAACGAATGCAATCAAGGTGAGTGAGAACCTCTTTTAAATAATAATCTCTTCTCCCTGGAGACCTTGTCTTTTGAAAGAATTTCTCTTAAATTATTTTTTTTTTACTAGGCAAGATAGCCAGCCCTTCCTTCTTCAATGTCATGTGTCGTCTTATCCTCTGGAAAACAGAACAACTTTTACTTTAGTTTTAGTCTTTTCTTATTTATAGAAGAGGAGAAAGTGCAGGGGAGGCATGCGTCTCAGACAGAAAAGGAAGCAGTTGTTAACATTGTTTGCTGTTGTTGTTGCTCTTTCATTTGCATATTCACATGTGGCGAACGGGGCTTGCAGGGGGGCAGGCAGCAGCAAGCAAAGCGATTCCGAAGGAGTTTGCACGCGTTTTTAATCGCAAAATGTTTCTGTCGCTGCCTGAAGTTTGATTTTTTGGATCTTCTTCAAGAGCGGGTATAACGACAATATATGTATATCGCAACAGCAAGAATAGGTTTTCGTCTGAAATATAAAGTAATTTCCTTCCATCCGGATGCATCCGTCCGTAGTCAAAATACGTTTATTAAATCTTATTTATTATCTCCTAAACATACATAGATATAAACGGTGCATGTTTTAGGGTATCTAAACGAACGGGACTAAAAGTATTCTCGCTTTCTGCTTAAGCGTGTGTGAGTGACACATTTGTACCGCTTTCCGTGTGTCCTGGAAAACTTTGGTGTGTTTGCAGAGCGCTTTTAGGCTGTCTGTGTATGTGTAATTGCATATTATTTGCATAAATATTTACCAAGTACTAAGTAATGTAATGCTGTATCTCACACACATATAAACCGTTATATGTGTATGTACCGTATGTATGTGCAACAGAAATAACATTTAGATAGAACATTTAAAAACAGGTTGCCATAAAACTTTTGACATTAGCAAAAGGATGCCGGCGTGAAGAGTCAAAGTTTCAAGAGTTAAATGTGGAACTTCTGAAACATCCATTGCCTGTTGGGTAAAGTAATCTTTGGCTATTAGCATTTTCTGTGGTTTTCAGAGTTTTAAAGTTTTTCAAAAATGTTCAGTCAAATATGTTTTTCAATTTTTACAATTTTGTTGTGCTTCTAAATGATAGTTGAAACTTTAGTCAATGCAATTTTCATTTATGGAGATTTTAGAGTGAAGTAAAGTTAATTTTCACCTAATTTACTCCGCAACTATTAAAACTTTCAAAGCTTACCAATATCATGCGAAAAGTTTTCATGATTAAAGCGCAGGTTGCAGTGCATCGCTGTCCAACTTTATCCCGCTGCATCATCAAGCGCCACAGAATGACCCAATAAAAGTGCCAACAATTATCAACTTGGATTCCCACAGCAACAGACAACAGGCGAAGAGTGTCCTCTGCAACGCGATTAAGGCCAAAAATGTGAAAGAGTTAAGCCAGCAACCAAACAGGACACAACAGTGCTGAACACTGATGAAAATGGCAGAAGCCGCAACATTCCGGCAGCAATAATGGAAAAAGACAAGCAAAACAGACATTTACAGGTGCTTTCCACCTGTGGTGCGACATCTAACGAGAACCCTTAACACCATTACCCCAATCGGCTTTTACATTTTGATGTTTGTTTTTCGTAATTAACTTTTCAACTCCACCCCGCTCTGCCTCTGTAAATGGAGCGCGTTTTATATTTTTGTATATTGCATTTGACATTGGAAATTCGACACGAAAATGCACTCATTTACGGTGGGGTTCCTGTATTAGGTTATGGTGTTTGGAAGGTAAATTTTGTGACATTTTTGAATTTTATGAGAATTTGTTTGGTGATTCGGGACACGTGTTTTCGAGGCACAAAAGAGTAGAACCAGCCGTGCAAGCCCACTCCTTCCCAATAAAAAAACTTCAAATTTGTGACTCCTTCAGAGTTTCACCATAGGTATTTTAGGTATTTATTATATATGTATATATATAGCATATAGATCGAGTAAAATAGTGTGTGTCACTTGTGAGTGTGTTTTACATTTATTTACATTTATATTCATATGATATAAGTATAGGGTATATATCTATACTCCGATCTCTGGGCTCTCTGTCCTGTCTATGGGGAATAGTGTTTCAAAATGTTTTTTTTTTTAGTTTTGGTTGCTAAACAATAATTTCAATGATGGTGTAAATTAAATATACAAAAGTGTGTCGGAAACAACATTCAATGGTATTTTGTAATTGGATTTTTTTTGTAAGTAAAATACATTGATAAAATTTCATCCGATATATGTGTATATCTATATAGTCGTATAATATAATAGTTGTTATACATATACATACATACACATATGAAGTGTATATATAGTATATAGAATTATTTTATTTTGTTTTTTTTTAGCACACAGAATATAACAATTGTCGCAGTAATACATCTTTCCTTTCATTTCTTCCGCGGGGGCCTTTCATGTTTTTTAAACATGGTATACCTTTTCATATATGTAATTTTTATTTAATCAAAAATTTGTTTGCTGACAAATTAAATGTTTATATATTTTTATAGATTTTTCTTTTTGTTTTTATAACAAAATTGCGCTAAGTTTTAGGGGGGTTTCAAGTTTTTTGATATTTTTTATATACATTTGAGGCTAGACAATGTTTGGCGATTCATTTCATTTTTAAATTGAGCATAACGGGAATTTAAAGAGGTTTCCAGGAAAAAAGTTAAAACAATCATGCAAAATATTTTTCTACAACAGAATTAAAATTTTAATGAAATTTAAATAACAGATAAGCTTCAGATCATGAATTTGGTGCCAAATAAACCCACCCAAAATTACATATATTTTAAAAACGATTTTTAGAGTTTTTTAACGTTATTAATCTTTTAGATACTTTTTCTGTTTTACCTGCGCGACGCCATTTTGTTAAAGTTTCATGGACAAATATATATGTACATATATCTTTATGTACGTTTTTCTTTTTGCTGCTCAGAAACGAAATGTTAGACATTAATGGGTTAATCATATGTTGTATATGTATATGTAAGTATATATAGAAGATATATGTTTTTTAATTATATTTATATGTTTGTATTTCTCAGCCATTGCCTCTGCTTCTACCATCTCCATGCACTCCACTCTCTTGCTCTCTCTTTTTAAAAATTGTCTCAAAAACTTTTTTTTGTTTGCTTTGGAATATTTCGACCGTTTTTAGCTTTCCATTTTCCCATCATTTGATGTCATCGCCTTTGTCCTTTGGAGTTCCTTTCGCCTTGGCCATAAATATCTGCAGTAAAAATTTAATTTTTGGGAGCAATTGAAGAGGTTTCAATCTGAAAGAAAAAGGTGATTTAATTGGATATAGAATGGGGTTTTTTAAGGATTTTCCTACCTTCTGTTCGGTTGCTGGGGCCTTGCCAGTGCTACGACCCCAACGCAAACGCATTGGCTTGCGTGCCTCACGCTGGAATTCCGACGTATCTTCATCCAGTTGCGCCTCGGTGTCGTCCCCATCGTTGGCATAGTTTGTAACATGTCCGGGGGCTGCCTCATACTGCTGCAGGGCCAACAGCATGCGACGCATTTTCTCAGAGTTCCACAGAGAGCTGTAGAGCTGCAACAGAAAGCGATTAGTGTACCTGAAATGTCCACACTTATCTGTATTTTTTTACCTGATCATTATACCCAGTGGTTGATTCAAACTGTGGCACACTGCGACCCCAACGAAGACGCTGCGGCTTGCGCACCACACGCTCATAAAGGCCATCATAGTCGGCACTCAGATCGTCGGCTGTGTCTGCCAGTTGCTGTTGCTGCTGCTGGTTGTTGAAGGTTAATTCGCGTTCCAAAAGATCATCGTAGGCTGTGCGTCGCATCTGTGGCAGAGTGGGATCGCGGCGTCCGAAGCGCAGACGTAAGGAAGGCGATCGAATGGGCTTCTGGTTGACGTCGCCGAACCAACGCTTCTCCATGATATTGTTGAGCATATCGGGGTCGCTGCGACCAAAGCGGAGACGCAACGAGGGCGAGCGCTGAGCCTTGCGCTCCACTTGGTGATTGGGAAAGACCACGGGTCCGGCATACTCCCGCTGGAGGAGATTATCGTAGAGATTGTTGATGGGTCCACCGCCTAAAGAAATTAGGGAGAATTTAGAGACTCAGAGACTTAGAGACTTTAGGTGTTAGAGACTCACCTTGAACGACTGGCGAGAGCTCCGCATTGGTGGGTTGGTGCATCATCAGGAGATTCACCAGACAAAAGATGAGGGTCAAGGCACAGCCTTGACCTAATTTTGGATTTAAGTGGAACATTACGGAACTTTTGATCGGAGGAACTGAAATTTAATAAAAATGAAATGGGGAAATAAATTGAATAATGAGTATGGAAAATGTATTTTTTATAGCGTGTATTTTGGTTAAATAATATTTGAAGTTCCCCATTGTGTTCCCCATTTTTAACTTCAAATTAATTTTAAAATATGCTTAAGTCCTTGTACTCGTTCCTATTAAATTTAATGTAATTTCCACACATTCAATAAAAACTTCTTGCAAATTACAATTCATTTTCCAAAAACAATTTTCTCTTTATTCCAAACATATGTTCAGACAATTTCACACAATTTAAATATCTTTTCATAATTCACAAAAATTGAATATAAAAAAAAAACCTAAAAATATTGCCACCAAAACTGTAATAAGTTTCGATTTGTGAAATATTGTTGGCACTACAAATTTGTTGTTCCCTCTTTTGGGTCACAAACGATGCATGACTGCACCTGAATGCTGCTTGCACCTCCCCCGAAACTTTCCATAATATTTGTTGCAAATGTAAAGCGAAGGGTTAGACAGCTGCGGCTATGCAACCATTAGTGGCAGCAGCAGCAGTACCTAGAAATTTATTTATTGGAATTTTATATTTTATGAGATGCGAAGGGAAGGACGTGTAAATGATGTCATGGCCTAATGGTTTTTAGCCATTATTAAAAATTGAATGGCCTGTGTGTGAAATGTAATCCATGCATAAAATAAAATGCCTTGCATTTAGACAAAGGAAGGGCTAGACAGAAGGCAGAATATTAGGGCCTGGGTGGCGGAGTCATGAATACAAAGTAGAATGGTAATTCAAATGCAACAAGAAAGGGAAGAATAGCGACAAGTGTCTAGACAATAAGGTACTCCTTAAGGCTGTACAAAGAAAAAAAGGAGTATGAGTAGGAAGAGCAGTGAGGGTTCCTCTGATGGCTCCCATTATTCTTTGGTTTAAATTTAATACAAATACTTTATTGAGGGAAATCTATCTGCCTTTTGCATTTTGTTCCATGCATGTAGCATACCCTCCTCACACCCTCTTTCTTGTCTATCGTGTGGTGTGAATGGAGACTTCATTGGAATTCATTGGAAAAACGTCATATGTTTCATTTTACAAGTAGGTGCAAAACGAGGGCAAAGAAAATGCAATTGAATTATTTATAAGCAACAGCACAGAGAAAGCAGAGAGCAGGAGAGAGAGAGAGAGACAGCTTAAATATGGCACTGAGTCTTTGGCTGGGAGTTCCCCTTTCAGTGTATGATGAAAACAGAAGTCAAGAAGCCTGATGGATGTCTTACCTTGAGGGCAACACCCGTAGACAAAAGGAAACAATGCTTAAAACGGGAAGAAACAGAGAGAGAGAGAGAGAGAGAGAGTGGGGTGCAAAGAGGGAGAAACACAAGAGAGAGAGAGAGAGAGACGCAGCAGAGAGGTGCTAAAGAAAGTGCTGAATGCTTGATAGAGAGCGAAAAAGGATCCAGAAGGGGTTGGATTCTTCAAATGCTGTTCTTATGATGAAAAAAGTTTGAATGCCTGAAATGGGTCTTGCAACGTTCAACATTATGCAGCAGATGCTTCTTGTACCCGTAACCCCCCAGCCCCAAGGCTTCAGCGGCTTCTCTATTTGTTTTTCTCTTTGTTTCGTTTTTTTTGCTGTTGTTGCAAGCGGAAGTATAAAGTCTAAGCCTTTGCCACTTGCCACTGTAGAAGCAGCCAGCATCCTTGAGGCATTAAGTGCCCGTCGAAGGATATTTTTGTTAAGAGATGCATCCCAGCGTATACGTGATAGCCGGCGTTCGTATCGCTTCGTATACGTGATGTCAGATTGAGACAGGAGACGGCCAACAAACAGGAGACGGCCAAACAGGAGACATGAAGTCGAGCCGGAAATTAAATTGTAGTTTAAGCAGAGACACGCTCCGTCAACGAAAATTGTGCCGCCCTCTGACATTTGGCCCAATATTTCAAAAATATGAAGAAGGAGAGGTGGCACAGAGGGGCAAAATGTAAATTATTGGTGATATCTTTAAATTCTGGTTTTGGAGGAGGTCTAAGGACTTTTAAGAGTAAAGGGAAGTGGGAAATTTTCATATGGCATTTCATAATGGCCTTTTGAATAATAGACCACGAAATTTTACAAAATATTTAAGAAGTTTGAATACAAAATTTAAAAACATTCTTGCTCCCAAAATACAAATCAAATTTCACTTGAGGGCAGATTACCCCGAATCATTTCTAGTAATTCTCGTAATCCGTTTCTGTTAAACCGATTTTCTATTTGTGATTTGCTAGCCTTACGGAGTTGGTTCCTTTCTCCCTTCTGCTCCTCCCCACAGTGCTTTCTATTCCCAGAATTTAATCGAATTGTGACTTTCTCTTTTTTATTGCCCTGTCTGTCTGTCATCTGTGTCTGTTGCTCCGCTCTCAATGATATCTCGGATGTGTCCGTTGCTGGAGACTGATTTGTTGGCGGAAGCAAAGAGCAATTGCCACGACCAGGGTCCGGGAGTCCACCACTCGTTATGGAAATTTGGTCCCAAATATCTCTGTATCTTTGTGTGTCTAGTATGTGTGTGTGGTTGGAATCTGTCGAGTGATGAAATGTGCCTTTGGTCTACGCGACATTTGGGCGACGTTTGTCCAAATTGAAAGTGATTTATCATCGTTCTCCTCGTCTCTTCATCTCGTGATGCGCCCGCTTGCTTGACTTTTGACGAAATGACGAATGAGTTGTGCGATATTTCATACAGATAATGATGCTATTTATGCGTGGGATGCACTGAGCGAAAAATTGTCTAAAAATGATCAGGAAATGTGTAGATATCTGTAGCGGAATCTTGAATTTCTCGAGGATATTGAAAGAAGTATCAGATATAAGAATAAATATAAGAAACGGATTAAATTTGAATTTTTATATTTTTATATTTTTTGGATATTTTTCTTCACATTTTTCTCTACTTTTTTGTATAGCATTCATCATAATTCATCCGTAATGTTTAAAGTATTTTCTTTACATTTCTCTCCGATGTTCCATAGCATATTTTTAATAAAATGTTTTGTAATTTTCCTCTGTGCAAAGCTCTCCCCCAATGCCTCAGTTAAACCCTGCTTTAAAAAAGACAAGAAGAACCTTATTTTAGTTGTTTTTGTTATTGTGTTGCTGTGAGTGGAATATAAATATAATAGAGGGTGTGGGTCTAGAGGAATAAAATGCCTGATTGACACATAATAAGCAATCCCATTAACACATTTTGTTCGGGGCATCGAGTGGTCTCCTGATGAAATGATGCCTCATTGAGCGGACTGTGGTGTCCCGCATGCCACAGCTGCCAATTGGGCTGCTAATATTTACACTGTTTAGCATGGCTGGGGTTTAAGAAAGGAATGTACAGAGCGGATGCAGAGGATATAATTTCAATCTGTGTTGATCTGGACTCTTAGTTGAATATTTTATACTTTTTGCCAACACATTTTTTTATCACAGTTTTGTTGTCTAGTGTAACCATGCCAAATCCACAGACCGACCAACCGCTTTCCCATTGAAGCGTGAAAAACACATTGACGAGGTTTAAATAGCCTTTGGGGTCTTTGGCCCACACAACTACAAACACACATTTAACGCCCACAAAAATCCACAAAATAGGACACGCAGACATATCCTTAAACACTCTGGCATACATATAATCTCACACTCTCACAGACACCCTCTGAAATGTAAACACACACATGCCCACAACAGGTTGTTTGCACCCTCGAAATGACAAGGTATTATGATGCAGAATAAGGATTTGTAAAAAAATTTATTTTTCGATCCTTCCAACTTGCTTTTTAGCTCTCCGACTTAGCTATTTTTTTGTGCATATTTTCGCCTATTCTCCATATTTTTATTATTATTTTTAATAAAATATTTCTCCAAATTTTCTTTCTAATCTTTCTATTATTTTGTTTCTCTGTTAGCTAGCCCCAATTGTTTTTCCAGGGTGTCTAAGCATTCGTTCCTCTAAAACTATAATTCTCTTCTCTTCAGTGAGACATTGATGGTGAAGCCGGTCGGTCGTCTCTCCCTTTCACATTTTTATTTGTGTGACTCACAAATTTTATTTGCCTTTTATTTAACAATTTTTATTCTGTGGCTGCAGAAAAGGTCATCTATGGGGTTCGGCCAGCCACGTGCACCACTCCCCTTACGCCCCTGCCGTACCCCACTAGCCTGCCAGAAAAAAGCAGGGAAAAGGTTACTGCTGGGGCGATAGACCAAAACATTTGTAGCTTTATGGGTCCCCAGACCCAGTCTGATGGATCAGAGCTCTGGGCATTAAAACGTTTTGACAAACACATTAGAGGGGTCTTTGGTTCTGGGCCTTTCGGAGATGCCGCTGCTGTGCTCCTGCCCTGCCCTGGACGTACAACCTGCCCCCTGCTTTTGGCCCTATGCCTTACCCTGGGACCCTTTATTTTTTCCATGTACCATGTAATCTTTTGTGTTTTATCAACATATTTGATGAGACTTTGGTGCTGCTGCTGCTTCTGCGGCCATTTGGTGGGCTTTGTGTTGCCTACTTTGTGGCTTTTGGGGGCGTTAATCATACGCCCTGTCGTTCTTACTTTTTTTCCCCCCAACCCTTGGCCATGTGTTTGGTTAAATTTAGTTTTCTTCTTTTTGTAGGCTTATGCCAGCCCCAGAGATGTGGACAGAAAGTTTGGATAAATAACGCAAGCAAAATTTGACAGTTTTAGTGGTAATTTGTTAGAATTTATCAGAATTTGTTGAGTGGGGTACAAAAGTCATTGAGTTTAGGCGGATTTTAAACGAGTTTATACAATTTTTAGGGATAAGTTATGGTGAAGCTTTTATGGAGTTTTGAGGGAATATTTCGGAAGAATATAAGTTTTTTAGGGAGCTCTAGAATATCTTTCAAATTTTATTACCATTTCACGCTTTTACATTTTTAGATGTTTTCTAGTTTTACCCTTAGTTTTTCCAGTGAATATTTTTGTCGTTGCTCTAAAATGAACCAAAAA